TGTTCAATGCAACAAAATTTTACGGCGTGAGGTCGAAATATGGTGCCATAAAACATGATCACAAACTTACTATTGGTGATAATCAAATTTGTTGCGTTTTCAGCCTCCGAGATTGGTACAGAATTTTATTGACTGACGTTTCAGCTAAATCGCCTTCTTCGGAGCCTGTAAAGAAAGTCGAACATATTTGTGAAACCCAATCATTTAAATACCTTTCAAATTACAAGAAAAAAGCTCTAAGGGTCTTAAAATCATTAGTGGTGTCGGGAAACCTGACCTTAAACGATGACGGAGCTGTAGGAGGCACCTTAGCTGTAAGATTTTCGGCGGAGCTTTTATATGTGCCTGAGCTCTCCAGGTCAGGCCAAAGGGCTAGAGGGACCCCCCAGGGTGAAAAGTGTTACATGAAGCCGACAGAGGGTCGGTTCACTGATGACCGCGCATTACCCTAGTCACTGATTTCAGGGAACTTTGAAAATTTTCGAGCGTGAGTTCCTGCCTCGGCGCCCCTGCAGTGGTGTCTGTGAACAAAACCACAAAGTTCTGCGAATGGCGCGATCCTCCACGCACACATCTTCCATGTACGACTCTCAATTAATCTCGGCATGATTGTATGTACAGTTGTAATTGCTTCTGTTCAAGCTTCCGATATACGATTTATCCGGCTAACGTTTCGGCGCACTCGCCTTCTTCGGAGCCTGCAAATCGAAGCATCTTTTTGAAACAATTCGTCCAAGCAACATTTCAGATTACAAGAAAGAAAAACTAAGGGAGAATAAGCCATGAACGATGTCGTAACCCGCTAACCTTTGTAAAAGCCGAGCGTTAGAAGGCACCCTTTGCTTGAAGACCGTGCAGTGAGGCTTTTATATGTGCTTCGCACCTTTGGGTCGGGTCATATGGCTAAAGGGAACCCCCCAGGAATTTTGAATTTGAATTTAAGGGTCAGATTACAAATTTTGATGCCCCAGGATTGATCACGTAGATCAATACCCTAGAGACCGCCGAAATGATGGTACCTGCTGATCGCCGCGCATCTCGCCCAGTCCATCGATTTTTGTAATGAAGCCTGGAACCCCGCCTCGGCGCCCCGCGGGGGTATCGACTGCGTAGATCAAAACCTACAGAGGTCCGCAAGGGTGCGAGCTCTCTAGTAATCGCAACGCACTCGTCCTTCCTGTTGATTTTTGGATCCTTTGCTGCAATCCACATGGCTTCAAGGGTTCTGCGGGCAGATATTTCCTGTTCGTATGCCAAGATCGTAACCTTCACCACCATGTTGCTATCCTTATGATACTGCATCTTGTGGTCACCTAGAGGGAGTTGAAATTCTGGACTTCTTGAGCCCGTCTAGATGTTCTTTGATCCTTATGCAGAGGGGTCGCCGGTTTCTCCTACATACTCCTTCTCCACATAGTTGACACGTTATCAGGTAAACGACTCCTGACGCCATGCAATCGCCTTCTTTTCCGAAAGGACAAACGACACAGGACGGGGTTAGACAGAGTCGGTCATAAAGGCGATTCCGGACCAACTGTCTTTTAAGGTTTGGAGGAGGGATCTCAACCACTCTTACAATAGCCTGGAGATCCGCTTTTCGGAGACAGGCCCGAATCGCAGCACTCGCTCATCACAAAAAAAGCATATGACAACCGAAGCGCTAGAATGTATCTTCGCTTGCTCTCATTGGTGTACGAGTTCTCTGTAGCTCGTCGTCCATCCAACATCAGACGGCTCAAGACAGTGCCAGAATTTCAACCCCTCTAGGTGACCACAAGATGCAGTATCATAAAGATGCAACATGTTGGTGAAGGTTACGATCTTGGCATACGAACAGGAACTATCTGCCCGCAGAACCCTTGAAGCCCTGTGGATTGCAGCAAAGATTCAAAAATCAACAGGAAGGACGAGTGCGTTGCGATTACTAGAGAGCTCGCACCCTTTGCGGACCTCTGTAGGTTTTGATCTACGCAGTCGATACCCCCGCGGGGCGCCTAGGCGGGATTCAGCTTCATTACAAAAATCGATGGACTGGTGAGATGCGCGGCGATCAGCAGGTACCATCATTTCGGCGGTCTCTAGGGGTATTGATCTACGTGATCAATCCTGGGGGCATCAAAAATTTGTAATCTGACCCTTAAATTCAAATTCAAAATTCCTGGGGGTTCCCTTTAGCCATATGACCCGACCCCAAAGGTGCGAAGCACATATAAAAGCCTCACTGCACGGTCTTCAGCAAAGGGTGCCTTCTAACGCTCGGCTTTTACAAAGGTTAGCGGGTTACGACATCGTTCATGGCTTATTCTCCCTTAGTTTTTCTTTCTTGTAATCTGAAATGTTGCTTGGACGAATTGTTTCAAAAAGATGCTTCGACTTGCAGGCTCCGAAGAAGGCGAGTGCGCCGAAACGTTAGCCGGATAAATCGTATATCAATCTCGGAAGCTTGAACAGAAGCAATTACAACACATCTTTTCTGTTGATCTTAGAATTCTTGGCTGTGGTGCACAGTGCTTCTATAATCCTGCGCTCTGAGATATCCTGTTTACGTGAAATCTCAGCGTTTTCATGATAGAGCTCTCGGTGGTCCCCTGAAGAAATGGCAATTGTGGACTTTTTCAGCCCAACTAAGTGCTCCTCGATCCTGACAGATAAATGTCTCTTCCTGTTCTCCTGCGTATTCTTCAAGTAGCACTTTTCACCCTGATGATCCCCTCTTGCCCTTTGGCCGGACCATGGAGAGCTCAGGCATATATAAAAGTTCCGCCAAAAAAAAACTAACAGCAAGGGTGCATCCTGCAGCTGCATCATCGTTTGAGGTCTAGTTTCTCTACCCACTAATGACTTTTTAACCTTTAGAGCTTGTATTTGAGAGGTATTAAAATGAATGTGTCTCACACATTTGTTCGACTTTCTTCACAGATCCGGAGAAGGCGATTCAGCCGAAGCGTCAGTCAATAAAATTCTGCGTCAATCGGAGGCTGGAGAAACAACAAACATGCATATTACCATAAGTATGTCATGATTACCGAAGTCGATTATGGCCTATTCTGAAAGAGTGCAAGTTGTCAGCTGCTTTGTAACAATCACTGGCTGCAAGACTCGGCCACGACCAAAATAGCTGAGCGTCATTTGCTAACCATGAGATAACTGTTGCATACTCATTCTAAGTTAACTCACTTCCATTCGTGCTGCCTTCAGCCTGTGCTGCTTTCCGCAAAGAGGAAGAAGTCCGAAAAGTTCATTATCTCATTTGCAGCCAGCTGGTGTCATCAGAGATCAAACAAATGTTCTGGAAACTACTGTGTGTGGCTTCATTTTTGCTTGTGGACGTTTCGTGCAGATCAATTGCTATTAAAGGAAACTTGAAATGTGGAAAATATCCAGCTGGTCAGATTCTCTTGCGGTTGTGGGATTCTAGCCGAGGTAAGATCAACAGTGTTTTTCTTGCTTTCTTTTTCATTTCTACTTAACCGATCGAAGGTTTTCGCTCGTATTAGGTTGTCCATAAAGTAATGTGGGTTTTGATGTGATATACTTTGTTAGACATTTTCTCGAGAAGTTTCTTTTGAAAGTTGTATTTGTTACATATCGTCAGGCAAAAACATATTATTTTCTTTCTTGGAATGCTGTAGAATTTTGAAGTAATTCGGTCTTTGGTCTTTTCAAAATTCCAAATCGCAGACGTCATAGCAGTAGTTTAATCATGTTTACTTCTGAGTTTAAATTCGTAGAAAATGCTGTGCAGAAAGGCGGATTGGAATTGTTGTGGGGGACTGAAGATGTACCACAAACGCACTCTGCAGAGTTAGCTCTAAAGTCCCAAATGTAAAAACTTGAGATTCAAAGTGAAGGCGGTTGGAGACGTCATCAACGATGACTATTAGAAGCGTACGATGCCGGCGATATAATGTGATTCAAAAATATCTCCAAAAATGACACTCCAAATGGAGTAAAGAGAGCCTGAAGTTATGCGAGGTAATGAGAGTCCATCACGTAGTTAAATTCATAAGCAACAGTTGCAGCGCAAAAGCAAAAGTAACGATGCACTAGTACTATTCCTACGCCTATTCACACGAATGAGATACATGGCTCTCTCTGGGTAACAAGGGGGGCTCCTACACTTTGATTACCGTACAAAGTTCTTTGTTCCTTCATGGACTTGCTCAGACAACGGTTTCTCTACCACGGGCAGAAAATGTACAGCTTCTGAATATTCAGGAGTCGTCAACTGATTTGAAACAATTATACCTACGCAAATTTGAAAGCAGTGCATGTGCATATAGACATTTTTTGACAATTTACGATTAGGCGAGGTTCAAACGCTAAACTCTCATATCAGTCTCATATCATAATTTTTGTTATTTGTTTCTGTGAAAATTTGACTAGTTATGTTTGCGAACTCAAAATTCAAACATAAATTGCTTTCAAGTTTTCGTTCTATTTCTGCAAGAACTCCTATGAGATTGACAATATTTCAGTTGAGGGCACCTTGGATAAGCTCATCGATCAAACCCACTCTGACAGCGACGGAAATTTTGATTTAACCGCTAAAGGAACATTGAAGAACGGCTGGCAGCCTATACTGAGTGTGCATCACGATTGCGATGACGCTAAAAACGTAAGCTCTTTAATCCTCAAGTTCTTTCAGACACGCCTTAGTAGCCTTAGTTAGATAAGGAGAGCTTTTTCAAATCTGAAAAAAAACTCTTTTGAGATGCACTGCGCATTTCACTTTGTCTGATCTCGGACCATGGGACTGATAAGCAGCCCTCCCTGCCATCACAACACTTGCTGACTATCTACGGGAAAACCATGATTCCAATTACCATGAATAACTGGTTCAAAACTCATCATTCCCGACAAAAACGAAAATAACAAAAAATACGTTTGTTTCGGTTAACAATTCGAAAAAACAGAATGAATTTCCATCGGACGTCTGCCACAAATGTTGGCAACAGGAAAGAATCCACTTGCTTCTCAAACTGCCTCACTAGGAACTTTTCATTGCTTTCCAACTGTATCTCTTTTGTAATGCATCCTATTCTTTCGATCGTTTTGTCGCTCTTCTCCAGACTTGTACGTATTGCATACAAACCGATACACCAAATTAGTGTTTATTACAATACGAGGACACCTTGAGATGTCGCTTAGAAGCTGCACCAACAACTACTCCAAAGACCAGAAAGCTCAGTAGTACATATGGGCATCGTAGAGGATGACATCATAGCCCACTTTGATCAACCCCATTTCAACATCGCTCACAGTGGGAAACACTTTGGAGACTTTTTGTTTCCCACATCATTATTATTCCTACTCTTCAATGTTTACTTGTTTCTGTTAATTTTAGTTCAACCATTGAGTAATGTGTAATTTCAAAATGAATTCATATGCAAAGGAAGCAGTTTTTCCATGGGAGGTCCTTTTTTAAACCCTACAATCCGGAATACGAAATTGAAATTGTTTCTTAGTAGTTCAGTCTCTACGGAAGCAATATTATCGAATGTTTTTAGCGTTTTGGAGTCGAGTAAGCATAAGAAGAATGATCATTCACAAAAAAGTATTCTCACAAGAAAATTGGCCCTCCTCAAATACTTCGAAGGGTGGTTGGCACGCCCCGTACCCCCGATATGCCCAACTAAGAGACGATTTTTTCTGGTTTGAACCTAATCGTATGAAAGTCCAAGCACAGCCCAACATCGGCCGCGACCTGGTGAATATTACGGATGATATCCCAACAAGAAGCCATTGTTGGGCTTCAATAGCAGGATGGCCCAACTGGCTTCCGCACACTAACGGCTAACATGGACCTAAGGCGAGAGGTAAAACTTTGTCCTCAGCGACGAGCAGGATTTCTATCTTCCTAAAATGATGTTGTGGACCCTGTGAAGTGTTCAGTCAAATGGAAACCTCATTTAGAGTATAAGATTCCAACATTCAGAAATAGTGGAAGTATTGCCATGGATGGAGATGTGTCCGACCATTCGGCGATTCCCCAGTTCTATGTATCCAGCGAAATGTGGGTTGGGCTAAGTACAAGAATAGTCTATAGAATACAATGCTTCCTTCGATAGTCAGAACTAGCCGAAAAGATGGGTTTTCTATCGCGGAAATGACCCAATGCAGGCCTACCTCCTCACTGCCGCCTTCCTAAACCCAGAAAAAGAAGCTGTTATGAAGCGACCAAGTCGAGATCTAAAGTCGATTGAGTTCTACATCCCACGGAAGAACTGGTTTTCTATCGTGGAAATGACCCAATGCAGGCCTACCTCCTCACTGCCGCCTTCCTAAACCCAGAAAAAGAAGCTGTTATGAAGCGACCAAGTCAAGATCTAAAGTCTAATTGAGTTCTACATCCCACGGAAGAACTGGCATGTCGCTCAACCCACATTCCAGTTAGAAATCCCACCAAACAATGTGATTTAGTTCACAGTGTGCAGGGTTCGACTTAAAAGTCCTAAAATTATTTTATAGTCAACTCCGTGTCAATAAAAACGACGCTGACATAGAAATTCACAGCTACTCATCGAATAAGTAATTTATCATGTAGATTCGAGAGCTATTTTGCCGAATTCGCTGTGGAATTGAGAAGTTTCCAAACTTTTGACGCGCCATTTCTTATAAAAATTCGTATTTTTCAAAAGGCGAATCTCGTTTTAAAAATTATGTTGCTATCGTAATCTACACTTGATTCTGTATATAATATGTGAATTTGGGACAATTTCATTGTCTACTGGCTACACTAGATCAAAAATAAAAAAGTTTCTAAACTTTTAACCGCTACTGTACGAACGAGAAGCATGAAGTGGCTCAATGGGGACAACCAAGTCAGTGATGTATTGTAAAGTGATCATCTCGTGTTTTTCAATAAGCGAGCTAGTGGATCTGTGAATCCTCTCCAAGGAGGAAGAAAGGCAATGAGTCGGCATGAAAACCAGAGATGAAGAAATTGGGAGTGTAGAATGCCAATCGAGGCGAAAGGTAGCTATCCCCAACACAAAAAGATTTGCTAGTATCCCTGCTTATTCGGCTGCTAGAAAATGTTAGTTTCCAAAAGATGAATGTTTGTGAGTATTGAGGATCTACGGAATACGACTGCTTTATCGAAAACCTTTCGATGATTACATTAATCAAAAGCAATGAAAGCATGCATGTTGCCTAATACGAGAGCTGAGCTGTGCTCAGAGCTCTAAGCCTACTTTGATATGCGCACGGTAGCGAGCGGAGCCAAACTGGTTACTACTATATTGCCGGATACTTATCACATAAAGTGTTGTTAGGTCATTGGAAATTCTTGACCAATGATTGTGCCCTACCGCAGATAACATAGAAACATTAAAATGAAAAAGGAGAGATTCAAGGAAATAGAACTTGTATTTGCCTGTAGGAATGTAGAACGTTCTAGAGAAGTGAATTTCATGAAAGATAAAGCCTCCTACAGGATCTTCACATACACCTAATGACATTCAGCAAGTGACCGCTAATCAGACAATTGGAATTGAGCAAGATGGAGTTTTATTTTACACAATAAGCCTTAGTTCACTTCTTTTAACACATTGACGACAACGCGAGTTTTGGCTTTTTGGTTACGTGGGACCGCTCGGCCATTTGTCGTTCAAGCAGATTTTGAGTGATAAATACACAACTAATGATCAATTCAAAACCAAATCAGTAAATTGTAATGAGCGCAACCTAACCAGGGGTACAGTAGTGGAATTTCGATCGAAAGACATGGAAGTAACAATGAAAAAGCGAAATTGGTCAGAACTAGCTGCAATGGACCTCAAAAGCAATTTTACGTTGATTATTCCAATCAAAACACACATATTTGTCATCCCTAAGGTTCCTTATCTACTTCTACTACTATTTAAATCTTCACATTAATAAAAAGAAAAAGTAAACGAAAAATTTATTGAAATGAAGATTTCGTATGGTTCAGAAATCCTCCTCTAAATTAAAGTATACGTGACCATTCTAAGGGCCACTATGCTTGTAGCTACGTCAAGGTCTCTTCCATGGAATGAATACAAGAAACTTCTAAAAGAATCAGGCGTGCGCGAAAAAAATGAGTGTAATGGGTGCGGTGGATATATTGGGTTGTCTCATAAACTCCTGTCTCACTTCTATTCAAATTCAAATTTCTTTTGTCTGAGACCGTTTCATTGCGAAATACGTTAATAAGTTGAAGTATGCTTCAAGAGCCTCAACTAGGTAGTTTCAGAAGAGCAAGCCCATAGGGGTAATTGACTAGAAATAAAAATACGTCAGTGACCATAATGAATATGCTTTACGATTCACAAATGAAGTCTACTGCAAGCAGGACAGCAGAGAAGATCAGCGCTATGTTCGGCTTAAGTCTCTGCTACTAAAAGGGTTCTGAGCTAAGTACAATCGCAACGGCAAAAGCGAAACGATTTGTAAAAGTCAACCTCACGCTGTCACTTTTGATGAATGCTCCTTGTACTGTAAATTGGGAAGTGTATCCGGACTTCAATACCAAGGTACTGTAGCAGATACCTTGGGCGTAGCCGATGCAGCAGCACACACCATTCAGGATGGAAAGAACTGCAGAAGAATAAGTCTTGATGGAAAAAAATGTGGTCCGGCCGACCATGAGCGAGAAGCACGCCTGACCATCTGGGGAAAAATCCATTCTGGGACGGCAAAAGCAGAGCCTTCCCTAATCGGTCACCAGTGGAAGATGAGTCATGAGTCCACTGCGACAACAACATGCGGCACGTCTGATGGCTGCCTCGCAGCCAGGAAGCACCAGCTCAACCAAAGCCCGAACTCCGTTTTCTGAGAATATACTCTCGTTTTGTTGGATTCGCTAGGTGGCCTGGTTTGGGAACCACTTCAATGAAGACAAGCATTGCCAAAGTGGGCGTGGTAATAGCCCTCCAGGCCGGCTTCGGTATTGCGAGGGAACCGTCGGAAGCGTCTCAGAATCTCATTTCTCCAAATGGGCCCCCGACCACACAGTGCAATGTCAACTCGCCACGTTCTGATGGAGGTGTCCAGGGCTAGCGCTGGCATCGCCTTATCAGACCATCGCCTCTCCTGCGTCCTTAACCAGCATATGCGAGAGAAAAAATTCACAAACGACAACCCAAAAACGACTTCTCCAACTTCTTCAGCCTCCAGCTTCCTTCATTCTAGGCGGAAAGCTTCCAAAGGTTTCCTAGCAAATGCATGAGGAATGCAACTAATCAGCAGCATAACCACTGACGGTGGTTATGCTGCTGATCAGTTGCTTCCTGGAAGAGATAAATTTTGAACAAACAAAAGTGTCAAAATTGAGACAGGACTTATGAGACAACCCAATATATCCCGCACGGTCCGAGATGGCCTGAATGCGTGGGAAATATATCCCCACGTTGTCGTCAATGTGTTAAGGTATGCCGACAGCCAATACTTCATATGCTCCACGAAATGAGTCAAACAAATTTCTATATAATCAGAGTTTTCGTATGATTACGACACCTCCTACGTGGCATTGTACACATCACAATGCAGAAGACGGTAGGGCTACAAAATCAAAAACGGAGTGCATGGGGAATTGAGCAGCGTATCACATCACATCAACACAAGGAATTTTTCCCAGTGTAAGATCAGCATGAT